TTTAGCCTGAGTCCCAGTTCGAGCGAGGTCGAACGGTACTATTTCGATGGCGAAGGCACATAGCCCGAGTCCCAATTCGAGCGAGGTCGAACTTTACTGTCGATGGCGAAGGCGTTTAGCGTGAGCCAGTTCGAGCGAGTTCGAACTGTACTGTCGATGGCGAAGGCATTTAGCCTGAGTCTCAGCTCGAGCGAGGTCGAACGGTACTATTTCGATGGCGAAGGCATTTAGCCTGAGTCCNCCTGAGTCCCAGTTCGATCGAGTCGAACGTACTATTCGATGGCGAAGGCATTTAGCCTGAATCCCAGTTCGAGCGAGGTCGAACTGCACTGTTGATGGCGAAGGCATTTAGCCTGATCCCAGTTCGAGCGAGGTCGAACTGTACTGTCGATGGCGAAGGCATTTAGCCTGAGTCCCAGTTAGAGCGAGGTCGAACGGTACTATTTTGATGGCGAAGGCACTTAGCCTGAGTCCCAATTAGAGCGAGGTCGAACTGTACTGTCGATGGCGAAGGCATTTAGCCTGAGTCCCAGCTCGAGCGAGGTCGAACGGTACTATTTCGATGGCGAAGGCATTTAGCCTGAGTCCCTGTTCGAGCAAGGTCGAACTGCACTGTTGATGGTGAAGGCATTTAGCCTGAGTCCCAGTTCGAGCGAGGTCGAACTGTACTGTCGATGGCGAAGGAATTTAGCCTGAGTCCCAGTTCGAGCGAGGTCGAACGGTACTATTTCGATGGCGAAGGCACTTAGCCTGAGCCCCAATTCGAGCGAGGTCGAACTGTACTGTCGATGGCGAAGGCGTTTAGCCTGAGTCCCAGCTCGAGCGAGGTCGAACAGTACTATTTCGATGGGGAAGGCATTTAGCCTGAATCCCAGTTCGAGCAAGGTCGAACTACACTGTTGATGGCGAAGGCATTTAGCCTGAGTCCCAGTTCGAGCGAGGTCGAACTGTACTGTCGATGGCGAAGGCATTTAGCCTGAGTCCCAGTTCGAGCTAGGTCGAACGGTACTATTTTGATGGCGAAGGCACTTAGCCTGAGTCCCAGTTCGAGCGAGGTCGAACTGTACTGTCGATGGCGAAGGCATTTAGCCTGAGCCAGTTTGAGCGAGGTCGAACTATACTGTTTTGATGGCGAAGGCGTTTAGCCTGCATCACATGTTGTGTTCGCGTTATGCTCATCTGCTTGATCATGACATTTAAATTGTTCCAGGTTCATTTTCGATTTCTCGTTTGCGGCGCTTTTGCGCTGGTTTCCGGCCTGACGTGGTGGGGAAGATGAGTGGGAGTTATAGCGAGGGACGACTTCTCCATCTTCTCTGTTTGGTGCGTTTCCGTCGATTCTGGTTTGAATCGAGCTATCCTCTTGATGCTTTTCCTTTGATTCGGGAAGAACTAAGAGTTCTCGCTAGGAAATCCCCACAGACGGCGCCAAATTGTTTGACTTAAAATGTTGCGCCGAACAATATTTAAGCAAATCAATCAAATGTATAAAAAGGGATAAATCATAGCCAACCATAATTAATACCGAATTAAGAACTGAAGCAACAGGATAGCAGACGTAATAGAGATGACATTCAAGAGACTTTATTGATAATGAAAATTGGCCGTGCCTCTCCCTGGAGAGGTTCAGGGAATAGTAATCCATTTTCTATCCTCCAGATCGATCCTGCCTTTTTTTTGGGAGAGGTTTAGAGAATCCGTTTATCTCTCCTCTTCCGGGCCTTTTTCTTTTTTGGAGAAGGGATATTCTTTTCCTTTCTTGAGGGGAGAGAGAGAGAGAGAGAGAGAGAGAGAGAGAGAGAGAGAGAGAGAGAGAGAGA